CTTTTGGGGACAGAGGTACAGCTAAGAGCCTGTGCTATGGGTTCCCATCCTGGCCCCACAATTCCGTGTTCCCTGGGGTGACCCCTCCCCTCCCCTGCCTTGGGTCCCCTTCCCCAGGAAGAGGGCGTGGCCAGGGTTCAAGGGAGACTGAGGCTGTGCCACTTCCGGACAGATGTGTGGGTCAGCGATGCTCGGTCACACTTCCGCCTCAGCAGTGTGGTCCTCGATTGTGGGATGAGCGCTTTAGCCTGGGCTAGCCCTCGTCCTGTGTGTGTTCTTTAGACATGGTGGCTCTGCAAGAGCGGCTGGTGCTGCAACTGCTGAGCCCTGCCCACTCTGTGGGTTCTTTTCCCATCTGCATCCCGTGTGGTCCAGGGTGGCCGCTATTCTCCCGGCTTCCCCCAGTGTTGTGATGGCCGCCATACGCTATCGTGTGCAACTTTTGTTTTGAGTCGGAGTGCAGTGAGGCAGTGAGCTGGAATTGATGGCAATCCTCCTCCTGCCCCAGTCTCCTGGATGCCAGGATCACAGATGGTGGCCCTGACTCCGGTCCTCACATCACAGAGGCTGCCAGCTAGTTCTCCACCTCATTGGTCACTCAGCCTGGACTCCTCAAGCCTCCATTCATCCTGCCCACGGGCGGCCTCCTGGAGACCAAGTCTACAAGATGTCCCTCCTCCTGGGGGCACCACCCTCACATGGCCCCTCCTCACCCCGCACACCCCTGGCTGTGCTCCTCACAGGTCCCTCTCCTCCAGTCTTCCGCTGGGGGTGGAGAGGCATGAAGCTCATCTACACACCACAAAACCCAGCGTCTTGTGTCCCTCACAGCCAGTTTCTGGGATTTTATGGGATGACTCACCCCTTGAAGCCGGAGGGTGACACATGGGGTAACAACCCCTCGTCCCAGGGAAATGCCTGTTACCAGAGCCTGGGACAGCCACAGCATGTGCAGCGACTCTTCAGAACTCGGATCTGAACCCTGGTCTCTCTGTCACTTGCTGACCCCCTAGGCTCCTACCCTACATCTGTCCTCCCCACCGTGGCCACCAGAGGGCGCGCATGAGTGCACTGCCCGCTGCCACCCAGGGTCCCCGGGAGACCCTGTCCCTCTGCCCCACGGCTGCCCCGGGCTTTTGCACTGTCCTCGCGTGGGCGGATCGGCGTCACAGCCATGACAGCCATCGAGGGAGGGGACCCACAGATATAGCAGCCGTCCTAATCCTTACAGCTCATCCCCTAATCGCCTGCGTCGGGCTCCGGTGGAGGGTGTCGCCAGCCATGGCGGGGTCGGCGAGTGAGGCACGGGCCTGGAGCCCGGCCCCGGCCATGTACGAGGAGTACCGGCCGCCTCCGCTGGACGCCATCCGCCTGCCTCGCTACGCCCTGTACCTGCTGATGGCCGCCGTCCTGGTGGTGGCCGTGGCCTACGCCATTGTGGGCCACCTCATCAAAGACCTCGCTCATGACTTGGCGGGTGAGCCAGGCTACCCTCCGCGAATCCAGCCTGGGCGGGGTCGCAGATGGCGTGGGAACGAGGCCCGGTGTGGGTCTGCCGGGGTGGGAGGGGGCGGGGTCAAGCCAGGGAGGGAGCAGGACCGGGCCAGAAAGGGGCGGGGCCCGGGAGGGACAGGGCCAGGGAGGAGCGGAGCTGTGCCTGGGGTGAGCCCAGAGTGGGAGGGGTGGAGCTGGGCCAGAAAGGGGCGGGGCCATGGGGGAGGGGCGGAGCTGAGCCTGGGGTGGGCGGGACTGATAGGGGGGGCCCGAAGTGGATGGGGCGGGGCCAGGGAGGGGGCGGGGCTGGTTCAGGGGGTGGGTCGGGCCAGAGAGGAGGCGGGGCCTGATCTGGGTCTGGGTGGGCCCGGGTGGGCGGCACTGGGCCGGGGGGCGGGGCCGTCCCGGGAGGGTGGGCGGGACAAGCCACGCCCTCGCTGGTCTCCTCACTGCAGACTGGGCCTTTGGCCCTAAGCCAGACCAGGAGGAAGGCCCACGGGAGCTCCGGGCGAGCTTGGCCGCGGAAGACCTGGAAGAGCTGGACCTTCAGCTGGCCCTGACCTGGCGCGGGGAGGAGGACCCCACCCGGGCTCCTCGCCGCCCCTCCATCGCTTTCCGGGACCCGCCCGTGCAAACTGACTTTTGGAGGCTGGACTGACCGGGAGGGACAGCACCTGCGAGGCTGGCCGGCCTGGCCTTTCTTAGGCTCCCTGAGCCCCCACCACCTCAGCTGGGCCACCTGTGTCTGTTGTATGACACAGGCTGGCCTGAAGCTCAGAATCCCCCTGCCTCAGCTTGAGTGCTGGGATTATAGACACAAACCCCACCTTATTAAGACTTTGAGATAGGGTTTCAGTAGATCAAGCTAGCCTTGAACTTGATATATAGCAGAGGATGACCTTGAACTCATGGTCTTCCCGAGCGGGGGGTAGATGACAGGTCACCACACCTGGTTTCTGTGCTCCTGGAAATGGAGCCCAGGGCTTCTTCATACAGGCTGGGTCAGCCCCACGCCCTGATAGTTTTAAATTGTTATGAATAATTCTGGCATAGACTCCTTCTGCATCAGCAGTGTCTGCTAAGAGGAGAAAGTGAGGCTGAATTTGGATACAAAATAAAAGTGTGGCAAAGGCTGGAGAGATGGCTCAGAGGGTAAGAGCACTGGCTTCTCCCAGAGGTCCTGAGTTCAATTCCCAGTAACCACATCATGGCTCACAGCCATCTGTATTGAGATCCAGCACCCTCTTCTGGCCCACAGGCATACATGCAGGCAGAACACTGTATACATAATAAGTAAAATCTTTTTTGTTTGTATAAAAAACAAACAGAGTTTCTTTTTGTGTAGTCCTGGCTATCCTGGAACTCACTCTGTAGACCAGGTTGGACTTGAACTCACAGAGATCCGCCTCTGCCTCCCAAGTGTTGGGACTAAGGGCATGTGCCACCACTGACTGTTGATAAATAAATCTTTTCTTTTAATATTTATTTATTTATTGATTTATGCAATATTCTTTCTGTGTGTATGCCTGAAGGCCAGAAGAGGGCACCATTACAGATGGTTGTGAGCCACCATGTGGTTGCTGGGAAGACCTTTGGAAGAGCAGGCAATGCTCTTAACCGCTGAGCCATCTCTCCAGCCCCCATAAATCTTTTTTTTTAAAAAAAAAGAAGAAGAAGAAGAAGAAAAGCGTGTCCAAGAGCTGGAGAGATGGCTCAGTGGTTAAGAGCACTGGCTTTTCTTACAGAGGTCCTGAGTTCAATTCCCAGCAACCACATGGTGGCTCACTACCATCTGTAATGAGATCTGGTGCCCTTTTCTGGTCTGAAGGCAGAACACTGTATACATAATAAATAAATCTTTAAAAATAAAATTGTGTCCAACTCTGCAGCGCCACCTCCCACTCTCGGTCCAGTCCCAGACACTCCCATGTCACCCTCCGGCACAGACGGGAAACTGAGGCAGGTTACTGAGAACTGTCCGGGCTGACGTCTCAAGGAGCTCGCCACACAGCACAGAGGAGTTCAGCGTTAGTGGCTTGTCATCCTTAGCACTCAGGAGGATAATGGGGGAGGATGGCGAGTTCTAGGCCAGCCTGGCCTTCGGAGCAAAAGGAGGCATATCCACCTCACCTGCCAGGCCTGCCGGGCATACAGGAGGAGTTTAGCACCTGGATGGGTGAAGAAGGTCTTTTCTGGCTGTGCCCAGTATTTATCTGAACAATCCTTGATTCTGTCTGTCACTGGGTATACATGCTCTCACAACAGTTTTAAATCTTTTGGTTTAGAAGTTTCCTAAAAAATGTTTCAAGCTGGTCATGGTACCTATCCTTAATCCCAGGACTCGAGAGGCAGAGGCAGGTGGATCTTTATTAGTTCGAGGCCAGCCTGGTCTACAGAGGAAGTTCTAGGACAGCCTGGGCTACACAGAGAAACCCTGTTACAAAAAGCATTTTTTCTCCAGATGGTGTGAAGTCGGCCTCACACTTGGTGTGTAGCTGAGGATGACCCTCACAGATGGTACGTAGCTGAGGATGACCCTCACAGATGATGGTGTGTAGCTGAGGATGACCCTCACAGATGGTACGTAGCTGAGGATGACCCTCACAGATGGTATGTAGCTGAGGATGACCCTCACAGATGGTATGAGCTGAGGATGACCCTCACAGATGGTATGTAGCTGAGGGTGACCCTCACAGATGGTATGTAGCTGAGGATGACCCTCACAGATGGTATGTAGCTGAGGGTGACCCTTAAAGTTCTGATTCTCATGGCTCCACCTCTGAGTGCTGGGCTGGAATGCCTATTCCACCTCTCCTGCCTTTTGGGGCACTGGGAATGGAACCCAAGGCCTAGTGCATTCTGGGAGAATGCTTTGCCCAGTGAATGCAGCCCCAGCACAATTTCTGCTCTGGAGCCCAGGCTAGGCCTGGAGCTAGCCATCCTCCTGCCACAGGCTTCCTGTGTATGGGGTGACAGATATGGCACCCAAGCTCTGTTTCTTTAGAATCTTTTTTCACGTGCCCAGGCTATGGCTGCCCCTGTGCCGCTCCAGGGTGGGGTGTCCCTTTGCCCAGGTGGGGCTCACTATCTGATCAGCTTGAGGCCCAAGGTTGAGGGCAGGAGAGGAGCACGGGTACATCGACCTAGACGCCTGGTTCTGACCGAGCTAGCGATCCGGCTGCTCCAGCCACAAGCCTGACTGCCACACCCAGCTTCATGCACTTGTGAGGGCGCGGGAGAGCTTGTAGGTGCGGCCTGACCTCTGTCAGGGGATGCTGGGGACCTGTCACACGTGGCTGGCGCAGGGCTGCCGTCTCCAGGGCAGGATGGGAGGTGGCGGGGGTGGGGGGAGAGAAGGGACAGTCCAGGTTAATATTAAACCAGTCTCAGACTCTGCCCTCGGGGGCCTGAGGCTCAGCTGGGCAGGCACAGGAGGCCAGGCCACAGGTGGCAGGTTCTCCGCCCCTTTCTTCCCCTGCCCTCACCCGCCCTGTCTTAACCCCACCCGGGCCTCTGGTCGTTCACACCCGCAGCTGGACGCCGACCTGTTCTCAGCATTGGCCATGGACACCATGGGCAGGCTACTCCTCCTGGCCGCACTGCTCCTGGCACCTGCCGAGGCCCAGCAGGGTAGGATTGGGGAGCTGAGCACACCCTGGGAGGTGATCGGGAACTAGAGTTGGGGCTGGGTTCTCCCTTAGGAGAAACTGAGGCACACAGAGGGCATAGGAAGAAGAGAAGGTGTGAAGGGTGTTCCCCAGGGCCCATGCTCTATCTAGTACTCGTATCTCATCTCTGAGAGCCCCAAGCTGAGGCCATGGCACTTTGCAAGCTGGGCCTCTGAGCCCCTCAGGGCAGCTATGAGGGTGCCCCAGTCGTTTCTCTAAGAGCCCCACCCTCCAGAAGCCCTCTCTTTTCCCTGCGGGGCCCTGTCTTCCTCACTAGCCCCGCCTCTAAGGCCCCTGAGAGCTGTTGGTGCCCATTCTTCCTGAGTCCCACCTCATCCTGAGTTTTCTTTTTTTTTTTTTTTTTTTTTTTTTTTTTGGTTTTTCGAGACAGGGTTTCTCTGAGGCTTTGGAGCCTGTCCTGGAACTAGCTCTGTAGACCAGGCTGGTCTCGAACTCACAGAGATCCGCCTGCCTCTGCCTCCCGAGTGCTGGGATTAAAGGCGTGCGCCACCATCGCCCGGCTCATCCTGAGTTTTCTTAACTCTGTCCTCTGGGAACTGATTCTTCCATTAACTGATCCCACTCCCACAGACTCCTCCCTCCTCTCCCACAGACCCCTCCTCTCCCACAGGCCCCTCCTCTCCCACAGGCCCCTCCCTCCACTCTCACAGACCCCGCCTTTCTCTTGTTGACCCCTTCCCCTCTCCACAGCCACAGAGCGCCGCCTGAAACCCTGGCTGGTGGGCCTGACCGCAGTTGTAGGCTTCCTGTTCATAGTCTTTGTCCTCATGCTGGTCAACCGTGTCTGGTGCTCTAAACCCAGGTGAGGACTGAACTCTACCCACCCAGCGCCTCCAGTGGCCTCTGAACCCTCTTGGTCCCTCCCGGGTCAGCCTGGAGGTTGCCTTGCTTTCCACGCTCTGTTCAGCCCTCCTGGTTTATGGAGTTCATGACTTCAGGAGGGTACGCGGAGGCAAGGAACAGCCTACAGCTTTCACATACACCTGTCTTTTTATGTGTGCAGGCCAGATGATGAAGAGGTGAGAGTCAGAATGGAGTCCACTGAGAATGAGTACACGGAGCCAAGGTACCCTATGGGTGACCACACTTAGCCAGACAGTATTGGGAGGTCAGCTGGGGCAGAAATAGTGCCCAGCAAGCGGGCTCCTGTACAGGAATCCCTATGCAAGCTCTGGATGCAGGGGAGGAAGAGGTGTAGGGCACAGAGCTGGAACAGGCAGATGAGCTCTGTAATACTGAGTGATTTCTGGGGGAAGGGAGGGGTGAGAGGCTAACAGGGGCCCTGTGCCCAGACCAGTGCCAAGCACATGGCTGCGTGCCCACTGTACAACACTATTTCTTCTACACAATGTCCATCACTCCAACATCTACCCAAACACACACCTTTCCAACAAAACATCAACTCATGCACTGAATCACCCATCCATCCATCCATCCATCCACCCACCCACCCACCCATTCATCCATCCACCCATCCATCCACCCATCCATTCACCCATTCATCATCCATCCATCCATCCATCCACCCATCCATCCACCCATCCATCCATCCATCCATCCATCCACCCATCCACACATCCATCCACCCACCCACTCATCCATCCATCCATCCACCCATCCATCCACCCACCCACCCATCCACCCATCCATCCATCCACCCACCCACCCATCCACCCATCCATCCACCCATTCATCCATCCACACATCCATCCACCCACCCATCCAGCTACCCACTCATCCATCCATCCACTCATCCATCCATCCATCTATCCACCCATCCATCCATCCACCCATCCACCCATCCATCCACCCATCCATCATCCATCCATCCATCCATCCACCCATCTATCCACCCATTCATCATCCATCCATCCACCCATTTATCCATCCATCCATCCACCCATCCACACATCCATCCACCCACCCATCCAGCTACCCACTCATCCATCCATCCATCCACTCATCCATCCATCCATCTATCCACCCATCCATCCACCCACCCACTTATCCATCCATCCATCCACCCATCCACCCATCCATCCACCCATTCATCCATCCACACATCCATCCACCCACCCATCCACCTACCCATCCATCCATCCATCCATCCATCCACCCATCTATCCACCCATTCATCATCCATCCATCCACCCATTTATCCATCCATCCATCCACCCATCCACACATCCATCCACCCACCCATCCAGCTACCCACTCATCCATCCATCCATCCACTCATCCATCCATCCATCTATCCACCCATCCATCCACCCACCCACTTATCCATCCATCCATCCACCCATCCACCCATCCATCCACCCATTCATCCATCCACACATCCATCCACCCACCCACCCACCCATCCACCCATCCATCCATCCACCCACCCACCCATCCACCCATCCATCCACCCATTCATCCATCCACACATCCATCCACCCACCCATCCAGCTACCCACTCATCCATCCATCCACTCATCCATCCATCCATCTATCCACCCATCCATCCATCCACCCATCCACCCATCCATCCACCCATCCATCATCCATCCATCCATCCATCCATCCATCCACCCATCTATCCACCCATTCATCATCCATCCATCCACCCATTTATCCATCCATCCATCCACCCATCCACACATCCATCCACCCACCCATCCAGCTACCCACTCATCCATCCATCCATCCACTCATCCATCCATCCATCTATCCACCCATCCATCCACCCACCCACTTATCCATCCATCCATCCACCCATCCACCCATCCATCCACCCATTCATCCATCCACACATCCATCCACCCACCCATCCACCTACCCATCCATCCATCCATCCATCCATCCACCCACCCATCCATCCACCCACCCACTCATCCATCCATCCACCCATCCACCCACCCACTCATTCATCCATCCACACATCCATCCACCCATCCATCCACCCATCCATCCATTCATCCATCCACACATCCATCCACCCATCCACCTACCCATCCATCCATCCATCCATCCACCCACCCATCCATTCACCCATCTGTCCATCACCCATCTCTCTCCACGGAGTTCATGTTTCCTTTCCTGGTGAGTAACCCTGAGGTCACTGCAGCCCCAGAGACTGTGTCTGACCCTTTAATCCCATGAGCAGTGACAGGCTCTCATTGTGGTCCCTGAACCCCACAGTAGAATAAACAAGAAGAAGCAGAAAAAGCAGGTGGACAAGAAGGGTGGTCACAGCAACGAGGGCTTGGAGCTGGAGGAGAAGGAATCCTCAGATGACGAGAGAAGCAAGAAAACAGTCTTGTGAAGTCTCCTGCAGCCTGCGGGAGCTCCTGCAAACCACAGTCGCAGCCACCACGAGAATCCAGACTAGTATCGCCTGGATCTCAAAACTGTCTTCAAACAAGGAAGCCAGCCCTGCCGGCCAGGTGTCCATCTGTCACCCAACCCCGTGCACACCCTCACTGTCAGCCTGTGCCCTCTCCCTCACCTCTGCTCTCCAGCCCTCAGCCATTCTCTGCCACAGCTATGCCCCACTGTACCCTTCCTCTTTTCCGATGGCCCTGAGCCCCTGAGCCCCTGTGCAGAGCTCCCAGAAGGCCTTGAGCCCTCTAGTGGAATTTGTGTTTGGGAGGGATGCCCTGTGGCCCGCACTTTCTCAGCCAGGGTCTCTCTTCTCTGGACTGTTCTCCCATGGTCATCTGGTTCTTGCTGAGGACAGTTTTCCAAGGGGGCTTTTGCTTCATGTCATCAGGGGAGGTGTTTTCGGGGGGATACTTCCTTCCAGCCCCTTCACTTAATAAAAACCCTACTGTTCTTGCTGGTCCCTTTGTGTAGGCTTAGGAGGCCAGAGCCCAGTGCAGGGTCCCGGGCCACCAAGGAGCTGGGCCTAGGTGGTCTGTCAGCGGAGGCACCTCGTAGGCTCTTGTGAAGCTTTCAGACTCACCTGGACTCCTCCGCTATGCTGTGTGGCCCTGGGAAGATGCCTCAACCTCTCTGAAGTCCCTTGTTCAGCAGTGACCAGGAGACAGAGTCCTGGGACACTTTCCCTGTAGCCTCCCACGGAACAAGGAGGTCACAGGGGACCCCCAGCTCTTTGCTTTAGGTAAAGAGATTGGGTTCTTTGAGATGAGGCCTCATATAGCCCAGGTTGGCCTCAAATTCTCCATGAAGGCTGGGCGGTGGTGGCGCATGCCTTTAATCCCAGCACTTGGGAGGCAGAGGCAGGCGGATCTCTGTGAGTTCGAGACCAGCCTGGTCTACAAGAGCTAGTTCCAGGACAGACTCTAAAACCACAGAGAAACCCTGTCTCAAAAAACCAAAATAATAATAATAATAATAATAATAATAATAATTCTCCATGAAGTCAAATATGACCTTGAATTCCTGATCCTCCTGCCTCTAGACAGGCCTGAGCCACCACAGTTCCTCAGGCTTTTGTGGATGAGTCCAGAGCTATGGTAGAGCTGGAGCCTGCTTCCCAGTGTTTGGGTGAGCAGGTCCCGCAGTGGGGGGTGCAGGGGGGAGGGGAGAGGCTACATAGTGGGCCTGGCCTTGTGAGCACCGTCCAGTGCTGTGGGCAGAAGGCACAGCGTGTGTATAGGGTGTAGGGGATAACCCGTCCCCTCCTGATCTGCCCAGAGCCCTTGTGGACACACAGTAAGGAAGACCCAAGACAGTTTGAAACACTTGAAGCTTAAGCTTGTTTAATTTTTTTTTTTTACATTTTTTCTTTCTTTTATTTATTTTTTTGGCTTTTATTGAATCTTTTATGTACCCCCTTCACTTTTTTCTTTTTCTTTCTTTCTTTTTTTCTTTTTTCTTTTTTTGCATAGGGAGAAACAGAACAGCAGGCAGACAATGGTGCTTAGGCGCATCCACAAAACAAAACAAAAAACCAGAAACCAAAATGAGTTTGTAATATATGAGGCTATGACTGGAGTCTGCTGTGGGCACGGGTGATGGAGGAAGCTGGGCCGGGTGCCCTCTGCTCCCCATCCAGACCCCCACTTGCTTGGGGAGGATGGCGGAGAGGGCGCCACAGGCCGCGCAGGCGCATTTGTGAAAAGCTGAAGGTCGGAGATGCAACAACCCAGGAGTAAAATACAAAACAGTTGAAAGGAAACAAAAATCTTAAAATAAAACCAAAAGATCTCGGCAGGAGAATGAAATGGCCAGCCTTACCACCCAGAAAACAAGGTGAGGGGACAGGGGAGAGAGAAAGTGAAGAGAGAGAAACCGTCCCCATGCTCCCTGCCGCAACCTGTGCGTGCCATGCACTCCGCCCTGTCTAATCCTTCAAACCCAATGCTTGTCCAGGCGCTGCGGGGGACACGGGGGTGCTCACACTGGGGACCTCAGACTCAAAGGGAATTCTTTTTGTGGAGACATGGCTGGGATCTGAGGTTGGATGGGTTGTGAGGTTTTAGGGGTATCCAATTGGGTCCTCCAAGCTGGGGTAGCAAGGCTGGGTGCTTGGGGAGGGGTGGTGGCTTGGGGGTACGTGCCTTCCTCCCCTCCCAGCACACCTGCTGAGTCCTCTCCAGGAGTGGTGACTGAGGGGAGGCACGGTAGGACCCCAACACTGCACCATTGGACGTATGAGGCACTGATTGGGAGATGACGGTTTGGTATCATGGCTACAAGATCCGGACTTGCTGTGAGTCCTCCCACCTCAGCCCTGTGATGGGTGGACAGGTGCCTGTAGGAAGGGACAGATGGACGGAAGGGAGAGGACAGTCACTGACCAGTGGGATGTGAGGCCTGGGCGGGGGCGGGGAATCAGGGATGGCGGTGCACACCTGTCGTCAGAACAACTGGGAAATGGAGGCAGAAGGGTTGCCATGAGTTGGAGGCCAACCTGGGCTACCTGGCTAGACCCTCCTGTTTCAAGATAACAAAACAGTTGGTGGGGAGAATAAGTGGCTGGACCTGGCAGCCAGCGCCCAGGAGGAGAAGGAACCATCGGAACAGCTCAGCACTGGAGGGGACTGAGGAGCTCCTAACTAAATGCTTGTCTATGTATGCAGCCAGGCCAGGCGGCGGGGAAGGCTGACCCCACTGGCCAGGACATCTGCTGGTGGCCTAGGGTGTCTTGTCTGGGGAAGGGAGTGAGGTGACCCTGGCACTGTCTTTGAGGGGAGCTGGGAGGAGCCCACCCTCCTGGTGTCATTCCCAACACAACGGACATTCCTGATTATCAAGCTCAAGACTTGAGGGCTCAGGACCCCAGATCTCTTCTAGGGTCACAGGCTAGACCCCAAGTGGTACGCTGTGGGGGCCTCACCAGTACATGATGCTGGGTTTGGGGATGACAAGGGCTGGTGGCCTGAGGAGGGGACAGGTTTGAAAGTATTAGTTTTACATGCAGAAAAATAAGCCAAAATTCCTAACACTCTCTCCCACCTAAAGTCACCATCTGAGGACCGGTGCAGGGGCCTGGTACCTGGGTGGGAATTGGAGATCTGAGAAATGGGGGTACTGAGAAGACCCCCCAACCTGCTATCAGGCACACTGCCTCACCCACTGCCCCTCGTGTTGATGGTTCCCTAGGGGTCATCACGTGGATTTCCTACTTTCTGGGGGTGGAGGACACAGGCTGGGGAAGGACAAAGTTAAAAGCCAGAAGCCAGCCACAGGGTTAACTGACAGACAGGTCCTGCCCAGGCCAGGGTGGGCGGTGAGGTGGGCTGGGGTCTCCCGCTGCTTGGTGGGGAGTTGGAGGCAGGGGGATGGCTTAGAGCTGGGACCCCTGTTTGCCCTGCTAGCCCCTGGCTATTGTCTCAGCTTTGGTGAAGTTTAAGAGTAAACAGAAGACAGAAAAACAATCAAAAACCCAAAGGTAACCACAAACAACAAAACCAAAAAGGAAAAAGAGAAAGAAAAACTGAAATCACGGACATGACAACGGCCTGCCCAGTGGCAGGACGGAGACCGCTGTGTCCCCGCTGCCCCTGCTGGGACGTCCCACAGCTGAGCTGGACCCAAAGACAGACAGACAGATATTGCATATACTCAGCTTCGTGGGTTGGCTGGAAGACGGGACGCCACCCCCACTCCACCCCCCATTATCCCTGGGGTGGGAGGGTTGGTGGGGAAGGGCCTGAGAGTCTCATCCCCGGGCAGGGGACTCCGGGCCCCCTCAGGGGTGGGGTGGCAGGGAATGAGCACCAGGGAGAGTCCCTTCCCCCAATGCGCGGGGTGAGGGTAAGGGCAGGGCTGAGGGGGGTGGGGCGGGGTCGCAAACCATGACCAATATTGTGACTTCCTTAATAGTATTGTTTTTCTTGTTTGTTTGTATTTTTTGGTTCCTTCTCCTTCCTTTCTTTTTCTTGAGGCAGCATCTCACTCTGTGGCACAGGCTGGACCTGGCACCCACAGCTATCCTCCTGCCTCAGCTTTCCAAGAGCTGGGATCACAGGTGTGTGCCACTACGCCCAGCCTTTTTTTTCCTCTTTTATAAAATTGTTTTTCTTCTTTTGATTTCTTTTACAAATAGAAATACCACCCTTTTGGATTTTATTTTTTATTTCATGTAATCGCTTGTCTGTTTGTAACTATGCGTGCAGGGCATGCGTCTGTGTGCGCGGATATTATTTAAAAGTTAATACTTGTCCTCGGGAGAGCAAGGCACATGTTGTGGTAAAAAGTTCGTGCAAATTCGGAAATAATGTTTTTTTTTTTTTTTGGTAAGGATATATATATATATATATATATATATATATATATATATATTTTGTGTATCCTTTTTTTCCTTTTTTTAGTAGAGGCGGTGAGGGGCTCGGGCGGGTGGGGCAGACCGGGTGGAGCTGTCATGCACGCAGCAGCCCCGGGGGACTCTCGGGTTTCGCGGGGGGCCTTAAGCACCATGCAGTTACGTAAATAGTTGGTTTTGTCCTGACCCCTGGGGGACCCGGCTGGCTGGCTTGGGGGGGGGTCAGAGGGGACCGACCAGGTCCACCCTAGGTATAGCCTGTCCCACACTCACTGGCCCGAGCCCCACATTTGGACAGTGACCCCCGCGATGTCCCCAATGGTCCCCCCTGCTAGAGGGTCCCTGAGGACAGACGGACAGGTGGGTGGGGGTTTGAGGCCTCAAAGGTTGGGGAAATGTCTTGGGGGGGCTTGGTACGTTCAAGTAGCCTCGCCCCGAGCCCGGGAGGGCAGTGGGTGGATGAGGCCTGGCCCTGGGGCTCCGCTGCGGTGATGGCTTGCGGCCTCCGTAGGGAGGGGAGGGACACAGGCATGACGAGGCCAAGATGGGGGGTTGGGGAAGAGGAGCCTTTGTGGGTTCAGTGACCCTAAAAAACCCAACCTCCCCTCCCAGGGCGGTCCACCAGAGATGGGGACCCGGGTGGGTGTGGACGGGAGCTACAGAGCGGGGTCTGGGGCACGGACCTCGCGCCCCGTTTTAGTGTTCTTTTGTTAGGTCAGTGAAGTCCGCATAGCAGATGGGGAACCCGCCACCCAGTCTCCCCATCACTCGCACAGCCCTCCCACGCGGGTCCGAGTGCACTTCCACCAGCCTTCTTGGTCCCTGTGCCGGGCCCCATGTCATCAGGGGGTCAAAGTGCAAAGGGGGCATCCCCTGCAGTGGGGCACCCCAGGGTGGGTCTCCAGGAAGTAAGGCACTGGCAGAAGTGTAGAGGGACAGCACACAGCCCCAGCCTGGGTTTGGGGACACCCAGCTCTACCCCTGGGGTCCCATCTCTCTAGCTTGGAGGGTACAGGCGGCGATGAGGAGCTGGGGTAGGCGGGGACGAGGGTGGGGGTGCCCCGGCCATTCTGTGTCCCTGATGGATGAGGGGGTCGGCGGGTGGGCGGAGGGGTTAGGCACTTAGTGGCACCTCCCGCCTCCGGGGGCCTCGGCGTGGGGGTTCCTGCTCCCCCACCTCTGTTTCTCAAAGTGCTGATACTTCCCGTGTGTGAGAGGAGGAGGCCAGGGGGTGGGGAGCTGCGAGGCCTCTCATGCTGGGGTGGGACTGGGGACAAATTGCATAGAGATGTGTCCTTCCAAACGAGGTCCGCAAGGAGAGGGGACCAGAGGGCTGAGGCGGAGGCTGGCGCAGAACCCTCCCGGGGGTCCCAAAGTACCTGTGGCACCGTCTGTCCCCAGCAGGGCCAGTGCTGGGCGGCTCCGTGTGCTCTCCAGGCCTCTGCTGTCCGCGCCGGGGGTCACGTCCACCTCCTCTGCCAGCACTGCCTCCAGCACCCTGTCTTTGGCAAACACCGTCGGTGGGGACCACCAGCGGAGGTCCCCGAGGCTGGCGCTGGTGGCTGGCGGCAGGGGTCTGGGGAGACGGGGCCTGGCTGGGCGGCCCACCCTGGACACGCTGTCCATCTGTTGATGCTGGGCGTGGGTGCCAGGCCAGGCTCGTCTGGTCTGGGGGTGATAGCAGGGTCCTCGGGTGCAGAAGGGCAGCCGGCGGCTGTCCATCAGCAGCAGGTACCACGGAGACCCGCGGCTCCCACCTTTTGTCATCTTGGTTGGGAAGATTCTTTCTTTTTTTTCCTGTTTGTCTTTAGTCCTTTTCTCCTCCTGTGTGTCTGTCTTTTCTGTCGCGCTGGGAGTCGGCAGGGAGCTTCTCGCTCGTTCTAAGTTTCCACTGAAAATGCAGGCGGGGGCCATCACCTCCGGGACTCCGCCGGCAGTGGAGGCGTGGGAGGGCCAACTCCGTTATCCCAGGTACCAGGACTGTGTGGTCCGCGGAGAGAGGGAGAGAGAGAGAGAAACGGGGTGTCAGGAGCAGGCTGCCTCCTTCCACCCCCCACTGCACTCCGCATCCCTGAATGCAGACCATAATACCAAGTGTGATGCTGGCCTATGGCCTCCACCTCCACCCGACTGCCCCTACAACCGTTGGTCAGGGACTCGGTATAAGTTTGCCCATGACGACAGGACTCAGCATAAGTACATCCTACGGTAGCAACATCGTCAGGGAGTGACGTCAGATACTCGGTGTAAGTATGCCCGTGCTATCAGGGACTTCACATAAGTAAGTCTCCTGCAGGGACCGTGCGATGTCAGAGACTCCGTATGGCATTAAGTGCGTGGGTGGCCGAGACACTCCTGTTTGCCTTGCTAATTCGACACCCCCACTGTGGAGCCTTCGAAAGGGGCACGTGTGGGTGGCTCCATCTGTGACGCAGTACTAGGCCAGGCTAGCCTAGAACTCACTGTGTACCCCCGTGGTCTCGGGTAGAGAGGTGGTCCTCCTGCCTCAGTTTCCCTAGTGCCACACTGGGCTTGGCTTTTCAGCAGTCATGCCCCTGCCTCAGCAGCCATGAAGCTGCCGGGTGGGCCCAGAGGGTAGACAAGAGCAATCTTGCAATGGTCTGGTTCCAGATTTTTCTTTCTGTACCCTCCAAGGTCCCTGGGATATCAGTGAGCACTATCGTAAAAATCAGGGCTAGCCTGTGGCAAAGTCCACCCAGTCACTACAGTGAGGTGTGTGTGTGTGTGTGTGTGTGTGTGTGTGTGTGTCCCAGCCTGGGGCCTGAGAGCACAGGCCAGGGGCTGCCTGCAGGGGGCGGGGCGGCCTGAGGGGCAGCGCCTCTCTCAGCCTGGCCGAGCCAAGTTCAGGCTCGTGTCCCTTACTTCATGTCTGGTTTCCGTTGGCAACCAGACAGGCCGGGGTGTGACCCTGGCCTGGTGCTGGACCACGGCCTCCGCATCCACCTCCCTAGGGACCCCCAGTCTGCCAAGCCGGCAGAGGGGGAGACCGAGGCAGTGGGAGGCAGCCAGAGCCTCAGCTCTTTAGTTATTTGTGTGCTCAGATATGAAGGGGCCTGGGGTGGGGGGCCGACCACGGTCTTGGTGTGCAGATGTGGTGGGGGGGCAGGGAGGGAGCCAGGCTGCCAAGGAAGCTGAGCCAGGAATAACAATGTAGACAGCCTGGAAGTGCTGACGGGGCCGAATGAGCTGAGGCCCAGAGCTGAGGCAGGGGCCTAGACGAGGGGTGGGTGGGAGGGAAGAGCCCTGCAGCCTCCTGATTTCCCTGGTGGGGGTGCGAATCTTGTCAGGAAGTTCTGCCCCCTCACAGCCTTCCGTGGCTTGCTAGTGTGCCTGGGGTGAGGCCTGCGTTCTGCCACGCCTGCTCGCCCTTGCCTAGCCCACATAGTGTGGCCGCGTCCTCTGTGGGCCAGGCCTGGTCCCTGGGTCACTGTGCTCCGTCTTCAGCCAGCAATGGCTAACCACCTTGGCCCTGCCTGTCCTGACCCAGAGGAGAAGGCAGAGGGAGCCATCAATCTGTCAGAGTGCATTCTGGACCCATGGAGGAGTGAGTGAGACAGAGGCCATGGCCTGTGACCAGGTAGCCAGGCCGAAGACCTATTGAGCTACCAGAGATGGTGGGGGTAGTTCTGGGAGCTGCAGGGAGATGGCTGAGGCCTGAGGAAGGGGCAGGTTCGGAACAAATGACACAGCTGGGGCTGTCCAGTCTCCTGCCGTCACATTCAGGGCTCCCTGGGCCACCGGTAGGGAGCTGCACAGCTAGAGAGGGTACCAAGGCAGCTGCAGAGCAACGTGGTAGCTGCAGAGCAACGTGGATGGAGACGACTTCACACCGCTGTGCAACCATAGACAACTTGCCTGCCCTCTCTGAGCCTCTTCTTGCACCCTAAACTTCCTGCCTCTGCCTCCCACTCTGGACTCTCTAGCTTGGAGAACTGGGATAGGGGCGCAGCTGGGGATGTCCCGACCTGCAGTGCGCTGTGTGACCCTGGGCTGTTTGTCTCTCCTCTCTGAGCCTTGGGTTCCCCAACTATGTGCCCCGAAGCCCCTGAAGGTGGACAGGGCGGAGGGAGACCTCACACCCACAGGGTAGGCTCAAGGCCTGGGTCAGGAGCGAGAGGCTGGCTTGGGTGTCCCTGGGGGCTATGGCCAGCAGGCCAACTGTCCCTGACCCCCCGGCCGGCCCCTCTGCCCCGCCCCCCACCCCCCAGCCGGCCTCTCGGCCCCTACCTGTCCCGCAAGAGGATCCCTCCGTCCTAATCCCACAAAGGGACCGTTTGCAGGGGACGTGCCGGGCGGAGAGCAGGCTGTGGGGAGGAGAGAGACCAGAGCCCGTTAGCACTAGGGCACCGGGACCAGAAAGGGTGTCTGCTGCCCGGGGGTCACACAGCCTTCCCTTTGCACCCAGTCGGAGCCCTCATGGTTCTCCCAAGGGTGTAACCCTGGGGTCCTGGGGATCCTGGCTGGTTCCTATGTGGTTGGGAAGGTGAGGTATCAGCCTTGGGCTGGGGCAGCGAATGAAATATTAATAATCAAAGGCCGTTGTGCATAATTCAGGACTAGTCGCGGCCAGGCTGGCGGTGTCCCGCGTAGGGCGCCATCAATTATTAAGGACGCTTTATTTATTGATTCCCCTCGTAGAGAGTGTAGGGTGGGTGGAGTGTCTGTGCAGATCTATTTATCATCTAGTTGGCTGGTGGTGTTCTTTTCTGAGGCAGAATCTCTCTGTAGCCCAGACTAGACTTGAACCTACAGTCATCCTCTGGCCTCAGCCCTCTGGGTCAGGATGAAAGTCCTGTGCCTCCATGCCCTGCTTCTCATACCTGTCTCCGCCACATCTTATCTGGGGCCAAAACCTCGGCGCCCAGGGACGAAAGAATCACACCAACCAGGGGCAGAAAAGGATGAGGAGCTGGGGAAGTGGGAAAGGCAGAGTGGCAATAAAGTCCCGGGGGGGGGGGGGAGGGGGGGGAGAGCGCCACTGCCAAGTTCCTGCTGTATACCAAGCAGAGGTCCTACCCCGACCACGCCCCCAGCCCCTCACTGGGGATTCTAGGCGGGGCTCCACCCTGACCACGCCCCCAGCCCCTCACTGGGGAGATTTCCACAGATTGACTTATTAGAGGTATATAAACTGAGGCACAGAGAGGGAGAGACATTTGCCCAAGGTCACGCAGAATGGGAGCTATTTGGAAAGGTGCCTTTGCACCACAGCCAATGTGGGGACTGATGACTTGTGGCTGCTGGGAACATCAGGTCTGGGAGGCTGCAGGCCCTAAAGTCAGTTGGCATTTGGGACATGCTGGGTACACCTGCTCAGATGTACCCCTGGGACACCCGCACCCACAGACCCTTTCAGTCAGCAGCACCTCGCACCCATCTTTCCCCAAATCCGAGAACCCCAAGTCCCACATGCTCTTTCTGTCACTGCATGGCCCAGAGGGGCCTCAGACTTAAAGCAATCCTCCTGCCTCAGCCTCCCAAATGATCTGAATCTCTGTCATGTTTTGTATTTCACACAAACCAATGCTGATGCCCTTAGGTCTTAGATTTTACGAGCCCGTGGAATGGGGTTCCCCTGTAGCCTGCATGCATCAGGCTGCACGGTGTGATGGCTGCTGCCCCCCCTCCCCCAGGCTTCACTGTGCCTTCAACTACAGTAGAGGGGGCTTATGCCAACCCTGAGGCCACACCGGCCACTCACCGGTCCAGGCTGCTGAGTGGCCGGGTCGCAGGCCAGGGACACCAGATCCTTGAGCGGGTCCTGGGGGTTGAGATGTGGTGGGTACCGGATGGCCGTGTGGGGGAAGTAGGTGGAGGCTGGCTGTGGCAAGATGGATGTCGCGGGAAAGTGCAGGGCTGAGGACGGGTGGGGACTCCGTGCAATCCCTGTGGACAGAGGCGTAGGGTGGTCATGGGGTCAATGGGACCCAGTCTGGGTTGAACTTCAGCTTTTCAAGGGCACCACTGTGGTCCCCAGCAGAGCACATGACAGGTGAGTGGAGCCTATGTCCTAAAATCGTTTACGACAGAGAACCAGGCAGTAAAATGTAAAAAAGGATGCAAAAAGAGGAAAACCAGGTCATGGGTGCAGCAGGCAGTGTGCTGGGCGGCACACGCAGAACCACAGGAGACTGAGGCAGAGAGGACTGCTGTGAGTTCAAGGCCAGCCTGGGCTACACAGTGAGACCCTTAAAACCAAGTGCTCAAGTGATAATCTTTACTCTCTTCCTGGAATTATGCTATGACAACCGCCCTGCCCCTTCCACACCCCCATAATTCTACTTCCTATCTCTGGAGCCCCGAGTTCTAGACACTTCCTGTCACAGGGCCCACACTGTGCGTCTGGGTCTCTCACAGGCCCCTCATGCTGCGAGGTGTCAGGGCCCCTTTCCTGTGACAGGGACGAGTCCCCTCTCTAGGGTGGTCACCCCATCCTGACCCCAGGCGGATGGTCACGCGTGTGTCTTCCCGCAGATGGCTTTATCAATGTGGTGGGCAAACAGCTGGAGTTACAGGAAGAGGCTGCTTGGGACCAGGTGCCCATAAAACTTTATACATATGACCGAGCAGCAGGAGGGCCACCATCAGCTGACCCAGGACCTACCGGGTGGTTCTACAGGTGACAGAGGTGCTCCCTACAGCCTGCTCCTCCCCAGTTCAGGCCATCTCCACCACACCATACTAATCTTTTCTTCCTGGCTGGAGGGTTACAGTAACAGGACCAAAGGCTGGAAAGCCGGCAGAACTTGTGTCGCCATTGCCAGTGGCGGTCGCGCTTCCAGGTACCACACTCACCGCTGTGCACCGCAATGACAGGCCTGTGGTGCTGCGTGAAGCTGGAGAGCCGGGGGGAGTCCTGGGGGGACGGGCTATTGAACGGAGACTTGTCCATCTCGGTCTTCTTCACCGGTGACGAGATGCCTGTGGGTGGGGGTGGGGGTTCAGGAGAGAGCACCGTGAGATAGTACACAGCCACGAACACAGGCCCTGACAGGCATCTTTAGGGGAGGGTCTCCTCTATCCTCGAAGGCTTTTCTTATTCCCTAGGGATCCTGGTCCTGACCACAGAGGTCAGGTACTTGTAACCTGTTCCAATTCATAGCAATCCTCCTGCCTCCCAAGTGCTGGGGTACCAGCTACTGTCTGCATCTGCTGTCACCACCCTGGGCTTGCCACCCTGTCAGAGTGGTGGTGGGGGACAGGCAGCACAGGAGAAGCAGGCTGGAGGGGATGACGTCAGAGTCTCAAGAATTAGCACCGTGGCTAAAGTGCCCCGCAGCATCTTCCAGCGCGGGAGGGGCAGCATGCTCGCTTGGGCCCCGCCCTCACTGTCCCCTCCAACTGCCCAGGTCAGACATCTTACCCAGGGTCCCCCGGGACGGTATCGGTTCACCTCCCTTCCTGTCTAGACTGTCCCCAATTACCGGCTCATTAAGGCCACTAAGCTGATTAGCATGGCATGTCTTTCCCCAGCCGCAGGACCTGCCAGCGCCAGGCCAGGTCCCCAGAGCCCCCGCCCGCCACCGGCCTCAGTTTCCCCGAGCTACACCCTGGCCTGGGGTAGTTCTGGGAAGCCAGCACCTCCGACACTATCAGAGACCAGAGACTGGCTGAGGTCACACGGCGCACACCGGGGTCGTTTCACTCCGATCCTTCTACAAGAGCCTTCAAGGGGGAAGAAGTCGGCAGGGACTTCCGGGAGGCAGTGATTCCGGCACCGGAATCAAAGAGCGGCGGGAACTCACAACTCCCTCCCAGAAGGCCCTACAACCCGGGCTGCTTTCTTTCTTATACAGGGCACTTGCATTGCTCCTGCTAGAAATCTAGTCTAGGTGAAAGTAATATACTGTCGTACTACAACTCCCAAGAGGCCCTGCATTTTTAGCTTAGCTCCTGCCCCGGGTGAGAGCGCAGAGCTCGCCGGGATTGGTAGTCCTAACTGCTTCTGCACCCACACAGCCAGGCCCCACCTCCTTCCATGTCCTCCGTCCAGTTGCGGTTGCTACTCGTGGGCGAGCTGGGAGAGGTGTAGTAGTCGCCGCCGGGGCTCGTGTCCACATCCTCCTCCATGGAGCCCGACTTGTGCCGCTTGCTCCTAAGCGAACAAGGATGGGGGGGGGGAGGAGATGCAGGATGCAGGCTGGTTACCATGGAGATGGGGACTGGCTAACTTCCCGTTTGTAGGGGGTGTTATCAGGAAACATCAAGGGAACTACAGCCAGTCAACTGGTTGGGACTCCCAGAGGGAGGCAGAGGTGGACGCGACACCAGTCTTTGCACTAAAACCCAGGGCTAAGACTCGGTTTACAGATGGAGAAAACAGAGGCACACCACGTGATCAGCTCAATGTCCCAAGATCTCTGGAAGAATTTGTCAGGCTTCAGGCTAGCCTTTGTGGCCTACCAGGGCTGGGTGACAGGGTACTGGAACTAGGCTTCTGAAGATGAGCCCACGTGTATAGTACAAACGGTTACTGCAAGTGAACCTGGGCCTGCTGCAGGGGGGGCAGGGGCTGAGAACTGTGGGCCTGCTGCAGGGGGGTGAGAACCGTGGGCCTGCTGCTGCAAGGGAAAGGGGGCTGAGAACCGTGGGCCTGCTGCTGCAGGGGAAAGGGGGCTGAGAACCGTGGGCCTGCTGCTGCAGGGGAAAGGGGGCTGAGAACCGTGGGCCTGCTGCTGCGGGGGGGGGGCAGGGGCCGAGAACCGTGGGCCTGCTGCTGCAGGGGGGAGAAGGGGCTGAGAACCGTGCGCCTGCTGCAGGGGGGTAAGGGCTGAGAACCGTGCGCCTGCTGCTGCAGGGGGAAGGGGGTAAGAACCGTGCGCCTGCTGCTGCAGGGGGGCAGGGGCTTAGAACTGTGGGCCTGCTGCAGGGGGGCAGGGGCTGAGAACTATGGGCCTGCTGCAGGGGGGTGAGAACCGTGGGCCTGCTGTTGCAGGGGGGGCAGGGGCTGAGAACCTGAGCCTGCTGCAGGGGGGTAGGGGGTAAGAACCTTGCGCCTTCTGCTGCAGAGGGTAAGGGGGCTGAGAACTGTGGGCCTGTTGCAGGGGGGAGGGGGCTGAGACGCCGGTGCGCCAGCAGCGACCCTGGCACCTACCCACTGGAGGATGTGCTGGGGAGAGTCCTCCTCATGCCAGCGCCAGCAGGGTTCAGGTCGTAGGCCAGGTGGCCCTGCAGCTCTCCCAGGGAGAAGTTGGGTCCGGTTCCCGTCACTACAGGTGCTAGAGAGGACAGGAGAGGTCAGGGGGGCGTGCTCCTCATGCGACCCCCCTCCCGTGGAGACGGCCCCAGGACGGAGACACTCACTCCGGGAAACCTGGATCAGCTCTGTGACGCTGAACACACCAGATGTGACGAAGCTCTCCTGGAAGTCCGTGGTGTCTGGAACACACAGGGGTCAGAGGTCAGCAGCCACCTTCCTCCATACCTGCAGCCAGGGTGATGCCCACGCCGCTCTGTGACAAGCTTCTGCCCCTGTCTGAGTCCTGAAGGTCATGTGACCCAGTTACTCGCACCCCACTCCTGGGCTGGGGTTACAGCTGCTTGGCGGTCACATGGATACTCGGGATTCGAACTCGGATCCCCATGATGGTGGCAAGTATATTGCCTGCCGGTCCCTGTCTACACCACCTTGGCTTGCACACTCTGACGCAGCCACGGTAGAGTACCGTGCGTGCAGTCACGAACTGCCTGACCGACACAGGGTGGGGGCGGGAGGAGCCTGTGGACTGAGGCTGGGTCGGACGGAAGGTTCTGGACCTACACGGTGGGCTTCGCTGCGGTGAGGGCAGGTACGGGCTAAGGCTACATCAACCACAGCAAGTACACACACCCACATCCCCGGCCAATGCCTGCAGCAGGAAGAACCCAGAGTGGAGCAGTAGTGGGACCGGCCCCCAGGGGGCAGCACAGTCACGCTCACTGAGCAGTGACCAGTGGCTCAGGGCTGGCCCTGCGGTGTCCACCGGGAAGTGGCCCCCCCAACCGTTTCCTGCTGACCCACATGGTGGCTGCAGCCTCCTGCTCCTCCCCCGGGAGTTTCCTGTTTGTACAGAGGCCACCGGGGTCCATGTCCGGAGGCAGGGGAGTCCCGAGGACTGGGATCCTCCGGGGACCCCACCCTCCTCCTCCTTCTGGCTGGAAGGGAAGAGGCAGAAAGAGGCTGGGGAGCTTCCGGGTCATGGACCTGGTCACGAGCCGTGGCAGGCCTAGCTCAGGCCTGTTCCTCTCCCTTCACGGAGGCTGCCACCATCGGCGCTCCCCCTCCACACCCCACTCCCAGGCACAATCTGTGATGGCAGTCAAAGACCCTGGTGTAGGCAAAGTGCTGCCCAAAGACGAGGAAGATGGCAGTCCACGAGGAGGTGTTGAGGTCCGCAAAGGCCCCATGGGAGACAGCACTGCCCCTTTCACCCAGGCAGGGGCTCTACCCTGACCCCGCCCCCAGCCCCTCCCTGGGGATTCTAGGCGGGGCTCTACCCTGACCACGCCCCCAGCCCCTCACTGGGGGAATTCTAGGCTCCAGCTCTGCTGACTATGCACAGACACTCATTACTTAGCACAGGCTACCCTTGAAACCATAATCCTCCTGCCTCAGCTTGCCAAGGACTCACCCAGGGTGATGGGCTTGCTGTCCTCCTGGTCGGAGCCCACTCCAGTCCGGGGGCTGCTGCTCTGTTCTGCATCTGCAAAGAGAAGAGAGGACAGCTTGTGACCTTGTGTTGGGGGCTGTGGACCCAGACCCTGAATTTTCTGTAAACGACTTGTTACGCTTGCAGCTGCTCTGAGCACGAGACCCTCAGGAGTTCCTGATGGTAGGGGAGTGGTTTCTGGTGGGTTTGGCAGGGGAGTGGCTACCCTGGAACACACTAAAGGGGGTGTTCTTGTTTCAAGGATGACCTGCGTCTCTGCCTCTGTGTGTCAATCTACAGGCGTAGTACCATAGCACACATAGCGGTACCGACCATACAACATCGCAGTGACATCTGCCAAGGTGTGAGAGATCTGGGGGTTCAGATCCTAGCTCTGCTACCTCTGTGCTGTGCAGCCTCTGGGCTCCAGGCTGCCTCTCATGTTACAGATGGGGAAACTGAGGACACAGGTGGTCTTGCGGCCTCCAGTGTCACATGTTGCCCTGGCTACCAGTTCCTCCCCTGTACTTTCTTTCCATTTTATCTAGAGATAATTCCCTCCCTGGTAGACTGGGGGCCTGCCAGGTGCTGAGCTCAGCTGACCACTGAGGCCCGAGGGGGAGGGTAAAGAGGGTGGAAGGTCAGGAGCTGGGCCTTTTCCTGTGGCAGAAGGGATTAGCATGATCAGCCTGGCAGGAGGCTTTTGGGAAGGGTCCCAGCTCCAAGGCTTTCAGGTGGCCTCAGGTATGGGAAGGGAGGGAGGGAGGATTCTTCCTAAGGAAGCTCTGAGTCCCAAGGTTATCTCAGTCAGTATGGGCCTGGAGGTCAGGGGTCATCCCCAAGATGGGCTGGTCCAGCTGCAACATCTCTTGTAAAATTTTGGAGATGAACCATAGTGGGATGCATCCTGGGAAAGTGCTCTACCCCTACCACGCCCCCAACCCCCTCACTGGGGATTCTAGGCGGGGCTCCACCCTGACCACGCCCACAGCCCCTCACTGGGGGATTCTAGGCGGGGCTCCACCCTGACCACGCCCCCAACCCTCTCACTGGGGGATTCTAGGCGGGGCTCCACCCTGACCACACCCCCAGCCCCCTCACTGGGGGATTCTAGGTAGGGCTCCACCCTAATCATACCCCAGTAAGAAAGAACCATAGTTATGCTGTGCAAGAGGGAAAGTTGCACTGGTTGGCAGGTGTGTTTTGCAGCATCACCTGCTGGCCCCTCACTTCACTTCCTGTTCCACCTGTCCTCCTTTGCAGACCTGGATGTCACCTCCCCCAAGTTTGTACATAGACTGTGGGTGATGGGGCAGTCACTGCCCCAGAAGCAGGGACAGGGTGGGAAGGACACAGGAGACTCAGGATGGTTTCCCTGTGGTCTAACTCCTACAGTCTCCAGGAACGCTGGAGAGGGACAGGGGAATGGTCGGCAGCGATGGACAGATGGACCTTTGCGAACATGCATGTCAGGAGGTCATGTCCCACAGCTGTAACTCAACTGTCCTTTTTAAAGGTCTCAGGGGAGGGATAGTCACATGACCACACACCCTGCTCCTGCACAGGTCCCTAGAGGTGTAAAAATAGGGACTCAGTCCTGCACTGAGTTTTTCCCGTCTGGGAGCGAGGCCAAGCTGCAGGGAGTACTAGGCGGCCGTGAGCAGGAGTCAGTCCTCCCTGCAGCCCCTGGGCTCCTCCCCCCGAGTGGCACAGGCTCCGTCCTGCCCTGGACCTTCACAGGGCAGCAGCCTCTCTCTGGTGCTCCCTTTTCCCAGCATGCCATGTTCAGGCTCGGGAAGCCTGGAAATCCCCTTCCTCCTCCCACACATATCCGGTTCTGTTCCAACTTGCTCTGTCCGGGATTCGGGGCCCACCCACTGCTGGTTTCTGTGCGAGCCTGGCTAGGAATGTGTGTCAGTTCATTCTGCACACATCTGACGCTTGCTATAAACACAAGCCTTGTTCCAGCGGGTTCCCGGCCAATCGGCAGGAGTCACAGCAGGAAGACCAGAGGCTAGACTGAAGGTGGACTTCCATGGTCCTGCCACAGGCGGGCGGACAGGGGCGGATGGTGCTTAAAACTCCCGCCTCTCCACCGTTACATAAATAAAAGTGGGGACCAACCAGATGGCCACTGTAGACACGCGGGGAGCCCTGGGGACGAGGAGGCAGCAACCGGGTGGGGTGACCTCCCAGGCTGGCCTACTCTTTCCAGCTCCAGCCGGCCTGGGCCAGCGCCAACAGGTCCTCTCAGCCAAGTCCTCCGGAGAGTCCTCCCCACCCCACTGGGCCACTCTGGGCTGCCCTGGCTGCTGCTCTGGTTGGTGATGGAGCCCAGGGACCCCGAGGGGACATCGGGCTCGGTCACCTGGTGCATGTGGCCCGGGAGGCACATGCTGGTGACATCATCGACTGGGCGGCCATTTCCCTGGGCTTCCAGATGCTTCTGTGGCCTAGGCGGCCATTTTGTGGCTGGGGAGGGCCATCTGGTGGAGGCTGGGACACAGAGCCAACCCCTCCCCAAGTCAGGGTGACCAGGAAAAGGGACCCTGGTACAGGGCATGGTGGACTCAGCAACCTCCAGGGTTAAACTGTAGGTGCCAGGTTGGGGCACAGGGCCAAGTGGCCATGGTGGGGGATGGGACCAGGTGGCCATGGTGGGGGATGGGGTAGGGGATGGTGGTGGGGCCAGGTGGTCGTGGTGGGGGTGGGACCAGGTGCAGGTGGTTGCGGTGGGGGATGGGTCAGGTGGATGTGGTGGGGATGGGTCAGGTGTAGGTGGTCATGGTGGGGATGGGGCAGGTGCAGGTGGTCGTGGTGGGGATGGGGCAGGTGCAGGTGCAGGTGGTCCTGGTGGGGATGGGTCAGGCGCAGGTGGTCGTGGTGGGAATGGGGCCAGGTGGTCATGGCCTGGGCCTCACCCCCAGTCTGGCAGTGACACACTGTGGCCCTGTCACCCGGGTGGCTCCTGGGCTGTGAGATCTGAGGTTAAAAATACCAGACAGACCCTGGTCCTCTCCAAAGTCAAAAGTGTCACCCGCCAGCCGGGAGGAGCTGAAAATAACCCATGTTTACACTCAGCGAATTCCTGGCTTTCCCGGTCCCCCCCCCCCCCCTTCCTAGCCAGTCCTAGGAATCCATCTGTGGCTGCAAGGGGCCAGAGCCAGGCCACAGCCCTGAGGACACCCAAAGCCACCGCAGGGGACTCCAAGGGTCCCTCTCCACCACCCCACAGGGTCACAGGTCAGAAGCCTGGACCAGGAGGTGGGAAGACAGATCCTGTGCTGTGTGGCTCCAGGCCAGCTCCAGCGTCTCTGAACTAGAAATAGACTCAAGATGATCCCTTTTCTACAGAGAAACCCTGTCTCGAAAAACCAGAAAAAAAAAAAGAGAGAGATGATCCCTTTCTGTCTGTGTCATGGCTTCCCACAATGGAGGAGAAACACACGTCACCTCTCATGTTTAAACACACTAGTGCACAGGAAGCACACACCGTCGGCACTCAGCAGTGCCAGTGCTGGCTGCTGCTTTGTGAGTGGACACAGAACAGGCACAGAATAAACATTCCCAGGACTAGGGAACCTGAGGAAGGCTGGGGGCATCAGAGGCAGCAACCTACAGTGACGGGGAGGAAAATGGGTGTGGGGACAGACAAGCCCACCTTCCCTGACAGGACATAATAGCTGGGACCTGCATGGATGCTAAGCCACGCCCCCAGTCCATCACTGGAAATTATGGGCGGGGTTCCACCCTGACCACGCCCCCAGTCCCTTATGGGAGGCTGGGGGAGTGGGGGCAGCTCTTCAGTCCAGGGCAACATAGATGCACAGAATGGGAGGCTCGCTTGTCCTGGGTCCCACAACTCAGGCAAAGGGCTATGGTGCCTGGTGGGGGGTCCACACCTGGGGAATTTTGAATGACTCTTTTGTGGAGATCCTCTCTGGTTTTCCTTGGGCCTCAGTTTCCCCAGCTGTCAGAGATGCTGAGCTGCTGTAACCCCTTTAGCACCGGCGCCCATTTGCCAGAACCTTCCTGGTCCCTAGGCCAGTGGCCCACTCTCTGCAGAGACCACACAAGGGGTTCAAATCCTGCCCCCATGATCCAGCCTGGTGCACCGTGGCTTCGAGAGTGAATCCTTTTCCTCTGTTTCCTGTCTTGTTAAGCACCAAGTTGGTATCAACTATTCTGGCCCCTGTGGTGCTCACATGCACTCTGCTAACGTACAGACAGATAGGAAAAAGGAGGCAGGACAGAGTCCTCTGGGGCTCACCGAGAACCCCCAGCCAGTCATCTCCAACAGCAGCCATTGGTGGGTCCCTCCCCCTGTGCCCTCTCGCCACCTTCCTGGAGCCCTTAACTGCTGTGCACCCCCTTGGTCCCTCCGCTCCTTCCACAGGGGCTTCCTCTCTGCTCTGCGTATACAGGACCCGCGCGATAAATGCTGCCGTGGTGTGAAGTTTCCCTTCTTCATCCTGTCCCTAGAGTGCAACAGACATGAGGTTGGTTATGGGGGACAGTGGCGACCCCCAAATGCCAGAGCTCACACCAGAGGTCACCACAGGTGTCTCCTCAGTTGGGGTCCGCCTTGTCCTGCGCTCCTCCAGGCTGCGGCCCCAGGGACCTGTCCACTCAGCTGCACCCTCACCCCCACCCCGTCTCATTCATGGACTGACAGTTCCCGGCACACAGTAGGGGCTTCAGAGGCAGACTGGCTTGGCCCGAGTCCCCCGCCCCTCCAATGGCAGCCTGGCGAGGCCCTGGCCGACTTACAGATGGAGAAACTGAGGCTGGGAGGAATGCCCGCCGTCAATGTGGAGGAGGGCTGGGGGCGGGAGTCTCGGAACACGGCCCCTTTAAGCCCCTCCCCCACGGCCGCCTCTTTACGTAATTGGGCCGTTGTCCTTGCATAACCCAGTTACATAAGGAACAGGCAGCTCCATCCGGCAGGGACCAGTCGGGGCGTCTGCACTGCAGACCTGGGCCACATCAGCAGCCCGGCTGCCGCAGGGGCTGCAATCTCAGGTCCCTGATTTCTCCCAGGGCTCCCACCTGCT